TAGATAAAAATAGAGGATATTTATTTTTAAGCATTGATATTGTACAAGGTATTATTTTATTTATTATTCATGTGTATCAAATATATTTTAATTAAGTTTATTGTGTTTATTTTGTTGAGGATCTAAGAAACTATTTATAATTATTTGAAAAAAAAAAAAAAAAACATAGATAAAAATAGAGGATATTTATTTTTAAGCATTGTTTGTGGAAAATTTAGTTTTTCAATATAGAAAATTTAAAAATCATCTTTGGCAAAGAATTCCAAAAAGCAGATCTCAAATAAAACAAATCAAATTAAATTTTGCAATAAATGTAATTAGTATGTTTTTGGCTTGAAGAGCTTTTAAAGTAAATGAACAGCTGTTTTGTATTTTGTGTTTGTTTAAATAAAACGCAATTTTTTATTGCTAGCAAATGTGTAAAAGCTGGAAAGAGAGAAAAGCAAGCTATAGAGCCGTATGATCACAAGTTATAGGGCGCTGTGATCAGCTGAGATTAGGCTAAGCTAAGATTAGACATAGCAATAGGTGCTAGTATTTCTTTTTGTATTTAGCTTAATAAATTAAAATATATATGATTTGTTTTATTCCACTCATCATTCTCTTTATTTATTGTTAATCTTGAGCAATGAACTTGCTTTGGCAATCGTCAATATTATTTCGTAAAAATCTTGCTCTAGACAATTCAATTGTGTTCTTTGTTTATAAATAAATTAAAGCTGATAAAACTTAAGTAATTCTTTATGAATAATAAAAAATAGGCTTCTAAAAATAAACCGGGTGATAATGTCATGGCTTATCTGGTTAAAAAGTCAAACACCTGTTGCATTGATCCAGCAATAATTTGAATAATCTTAATGAGTCATTCGGATAAATAGATAAATGTTAGCTAAAATTTAAGGAATTTACAATTTTTATCAGAATAGCGCAAAATAGAAAAACAAACATGATATAAGCTATCGACTGACCATTTCCTTCAAAAAATTTTTGACTGTTGCCAATGGTTTTGCTTGGCTCTTATCAAAAATTAGCCACATTTTATGATTTGATAAACATGCTCAGTAGTTGAAGCCCATAAAATGCCCAAGCCTGGGCACACTTACATCTAATCTCTCAAAGCAACCTGACAAAAGCAAAAGGCCAAAGGTTCAAATTCATGAAAAAAAAATGCCTCACTACTCATTCACTGGGAATCGCATGCAGCGGCCCATGGCGTACTACAACTGATAAGATTATAAATATATTATAAAAATCTTTATAGCTCATATAAATTATATTCTCAACATCTATATGGGGCAACGCGTGAAGTCCGTGATTATCTCTCCCAAAACACTTCTATTTCTATACGCCAAATTATTTTAATAGATACAGATTTCAAGTCTATATACGTATGCATGCATAAAGTATATAAAATAAAAACATTTCTATATATAATTTATAATTTGATTTCGTTTTGGCAATCTCTGACATAATTGTATCACTTTCTTAGTATTTAAATTCATGCGCTTATCGATGATAGAACACGAGGGTTCCACGCCAAAAACCAGATTAGATGCGAATTTTGTCTATACTAGAAAATTTGTTGACTCAATGCACGCGTTCCTTCAGTTCTATCCAACGTTGGTAACCAGATGGTGATTTTCTTTTGCTAAATACCAGGTAATTCCTTTCAATAGATAACTTTAAATATATATATACTTTGAGCATTAATCAGCTCATGATGACAGGAATATATGAAGTACTTAAACTTAATCAAGTGGATTGGAATTGGAAGACAAGTAGTAGTAGTAGTAGTTTATAGAT